TATCACAAATATTAGAAATTCTATGCAAATTCTATATGGTAGGAAGACGCGTCTTAAATCTCATTCTCGACTACAAGCAACTGCCTGCAAAAAAAATCGATAACTATAACTCACATTCTGTATACACTAACGCCAGCCAAAAGACCAATACAAATAAAAATGATGTTGACGGGCATCGACTAACTCTACTCTACGCCCACATTGACAATTTATAGTTTGTTTTCGTAATGGCTTCGATGTGCTAGATGTCAATATGCGCTGTACAGTGAATGCAGTTGTATGCAATTTATTAGTTTTCCTCTGTTCTTTTTTTTTTTTTTTTTTTTGTGCTCCAACCTAATAATATGACCCTTGAATTTATACAACCAATCAATTACATTTATATTTTGTAACAGAAATTTTATAAATTTTATTGAAAGCATATACGTATATATACAACCATATATACATATATATATAGTTTAAACTCATCCACTCACATATACTCTCCTCATACTCACGCATTCATTCATTACTAAATGTAAACAATACATACATTTATTTATATATACACACTCTTGTCTTGTCTTGTCTTGCATATGTTACTCATTCAGCTCTTTTTGACTTTTTCTTTTTGTTGTTTTTATGTTTTTTTGTTTTGTTTTTTTTTTTTTTTTTTCTTTGATAAAATATATATAAATAAAATTGTCACATTATTTATTTAAATTATCTTTAAATGTTTGTTGTACACAGTTAGAATGATTCAATACACATACATAAAATTCATTAAGTTATTTAAAAATATTTCTATAGTGTTTTGTTTTGTTTTTCTTTACTTTAAAACTATGATTTATATATTATATGTATATATATATATATATATATTAAAAGCTCTTTGTTTTCTCTCTCTTTGAATTTTTTTTTTTTTTTTTTTGTCTATATAAATATTATACACTCTTAATTATTTACAAAAACATTTAAATAAATATTTAAATATCTATAAAAAAAAAAATAAAAAAAATAAAAATTATATTTTTAAAGAGAAATTTACATTAAATTAAACGCAATCTTTTTGTTTTAATTTCTAAATAAATATTACTTATATTTAAAATACTTTTTTTTTTTTTTTTTTTTTTTTTTTTTTTTTTTTTGTTTTGTCATGATAAAAGCAATTAATTATCGTTTATGTATATATCTAGGAAAAAAGCATAGACAACACGTAGTGGACGTGACTATTAGTTTACAATGAGGATAACTAAATAGTTTCCTTACGTTTTATAAATAAACTTTTCAACTTTATTACATATTGATCTTGATTTTTAATGCAAAAATTTTCAGCAAATTTTTCCAATACTTGTGAATACACATTTCTCCTCGTTAAATAACAATAATAATACTAATAGTATTGTGAACAAGGAAAATTGTGTATTTTAGTATATCAAGCTTAGGCTTGATAGCATAAAACATTTTTGAATACAACCGGACACGTGAGAGGCAAATATGTATAAGATGCCACCATCATTACCGCTTATCTGCACGTTGCAATTTTCAACGAACGAGATATCAAATCCGAATAACATAACAAAGATATCCAAGTACATACTAATAGGAGTACAGATAAGCTTCTGGGGTTTGACAAAAGGGGGACGCCGCCTTAGACGGTCGGATGCAAAATGTAATATCGTGAGTTTGGCTATCTGGTGATAACATTAAACCTTTAGGTATTAATGACTCCGTATTATCATCATACAGTTTATTTTGTGCCGGTTAAGCATCATGTACGGGAGAATTTACTTTTCCTGCTTAATTTGAAAGATGCCAGGACTGTGAAGTCTTTATGAATGATAAGTATTGTGCTTTCGTTATGATAATAATCATGTGGCAGAATAGAAGAACTAATTAATGAAGAAGAAGACGATGAAGCTGAATATCCATGATGGCCTTATTTGCGAGTGTCACTGCTGCCTAGTGTAGCGCGGTTTGTTCCCACCAAATAAAACCATCACTACTAACTACGAAGTGCTATCAACAATAATTGATCGAATTGCTACAAATCGTGGGCGTAATAAGCCAACATTTATGTTCAATATGAAGAGAAAGTGCGTTCAGGAAAGAAACTTGAAATTCCCAACGTACGTTAGACGACACTATCAGTTTAAGCAATCAATGCCAAAAATTTTCTTCCTCTAAAAATAAAACAAATTAATTTATTAAACGACAAACCATGCAAGCACACTCCCATCATACTTTCATTCAATAAAACTTCAATATTTACCACTGCACGCCAGGGCCGCCTCCCACGAACAATCGCAAACTATGTCAGTCTTCATGGAGAACCGCGGGGACTTAGCAAAAAACCCCACTCAAAAGTCCCATCAGGGTAGACAACAAACCATCAATAATCCTCGGGAAGAACTCCCGGAGAAACCAAACTCCGTCGGCCCTCCCAACAAAAACGCCACTGACTGGAGGAAAGCACGTGCAAATTAAATCACCTGCCACACACACATATATCACGCAAATCACGCAAATGTATTTTCTTTGAAAATAATGATCAGCCAATGGACATATTTTGATAGTAAGTGTAAAAAACAGTTTCTTATAAAAATGGCTCGAACGTCGACAAACTTTGCTTTCGCCATTCGCGAAACGAAACACGGATTGTGCATTATCCTTTTCAAAGTGACTTCAAAGTGTAACGTTTATTCCACAATTACAAAAACACATATAGAGAAAGGCCCGGATAATCTTTGAATGATATGAATGAACCAAAAGACCGCAACCAAGACAGCAGTGCAATTCGTTTGGACGAAGATGATGTTCACATCACTGTGCAGACATGAACGAAACGAAGAAGAAAGAAGCAGACCAACAAGCACTTAAGGGCATTTCCACATTAAAAATGCTTAAAACTTGCTGCTGTAAATCAAATGTCACTCGAGCCGATGTTTCTAGCCAAGAGAATTAAATCGTAATAATCGAACGAACAAGACAAGACGACCAAAAGAAGCATTGTATATACAAGTTCTCTTGTAAATAATTTGCAAACAGAACTTCTAACAATTGTAAATAAAATCTATGCTATAATAAAAATCGCAATCCAATCGGCTATAAAGTTTATCCCAAAATACGTAACGATATATATAACTTTACATACATATATGTGTATGCGCTTCTCTCTTCAGAAAATAATCAAATGATTTTTTAGCAAATGTTTTATGAAAAGCTTTCACTTACTGCTTTTCACGACGGCAATGATGACGTGGTGCTTCGTAAGTTCGTGCCGGAAGATCGTACAATCAACAAGGTATATTGCCTTGAAGTTATGCGGCATTTGCTTGAAGCAATACGAAAAAGAAAACAAGCCCCGGATTGTGGAAAAGTCAGTGCATCACGATAGTGCGCCAACTCACGCACGTCATTACTTGTTCGTAATTTTCTGGCCAAAAACCGCGTATTCACCGAACCTGCGAATGCTGTAATGCTCCCAAGATCTATAGAATCGAAACGAGTTGTTCGAATCACGAATTATTATGGCCTTAGCAAGTAACACTGCATGTTACATATGGAGTAGCAAAACCAATATACTCTCATCTCTTTTGATGTTGACGTTAGGTGCCAAATTCCCTTTTCATATGTGCGGGTTTAACTAATTTAATCAACGTTCATTTATCACGTTTCCATTTTCCTTTGTATCACACCACTCTCTTATCCATTAAATATGTTTTTTTTCATTTATTATATTCCAGAAGTTGATTGATGCCAGGGAATCTCGGTCATATTGTTTATTTTCTATGCACGTGTTCAACTATTGCGGTACAGTATTTGATTTTGTCAGTTTCACACTACATTCCTTTTTGCGTTTAATTGAATTAAATTTTATGAGACTTTTGACAGATCACATATTTTTTCTTATATACATTTTTCATCATCTACAAAACCTTGCTCTTACGTTCCCATATATTTGTCTATTATACAGACACCGGCACAACTGCGTCCAATTGTCATGGCATCGGTCCAATTGTCATGGTTTCGGGATCATAAATTTCGACTGATGATAAATACGAGTCACTGTCATATCCTCCCACTACGTAGAGTAGGCCATCATGAGCTACCACGCCAGCGTTCCTACGGCATAATGACATATCAGCTACTGAATGCCATTGATTGCTTTCAGGATTGTATGCTTCTGCAGATTTGTACACCATTTGACCATCGTAACCACCTACAGCGTAAAGTATGTTATTGAGTACACGTATACCAGCGCCGCAGCGACGTGCCGATATATCTGCTGCAGCGCACCACGTGTCAGCTCCGGGATTGTAGCGTTCAACTGAGGAGAGATATTCACCTGTATTGTCCTTGAAACCGCCGACAGCGTAGAGTAAACCATTAACTACTCCCACGCCCACTGAACTACGTCGGGTAGACATTGATGCTATCCAGCGCCAAAGTCCATTTATCGGATCAAAGATTTCAGCAGAGCTAAGGCTTCTAGTAACTTGAAAACCGCCCACAGCATAAATGCAACCATTAAGTACCGCAACACCTAAGAAAGATCGTTTTGCCAACATTGTTGCTGGTAGACCATCGATTTGGCGCGGGATCGTAAACGTCCACAGTCCGCAGATTTGATGAACGTTTCATTCCACCTACAGCATACACCTTTCCACCTAATAGCGCAAAGCTGGCTCTGCTTCTTCTTTTAGGCATGTCGGCAGCCAGATACCAATTTTCTTCCCGCAAATCATACCACTCAACCGAACGGATTGCTTCTAACGGAAGACCTCCTACTACTAATAGTATCTTTGGCAAATCGACAGGTTTGCGAGGTATTGTACGCACCGTGTTAATTTCAGAAGGTAGCAGATGATAATTAAGTGCTTCAATAATTAAATCTTTACATTTATTACTGCGCTTTAACAAAGGCTCGTTTTTGACCTTCTGAGTTATATATTCTATTGCTAGAAGCGGCAAGCGCACATGTTTCATTAAATCGGCGGTATATTGTTTGCGTAGTCGTCTATCATAACGTAACCAGTTTATGACGCATTCATAAACCTTTTCTTCGCTGGAAACCGATATATCGTTATTACTTATTAATTCATTTTATTCTGCAAGAAAGCATTTTTCAGCCCAAGAACGGACCGACCGGCACGAACTTCTACTTCCGATTTTAAAGCTGTTTGCAAAACATATGCACACTTTTTAAATTGAGAAAAAAAAAAGAAAAAAGAAAAGAAAAAGAAGCGACTATTGGTCTAGGTCTTTCTCCAAAGAGGACACCTGCGACAAGCATGTCTAAAAGTAGTTCATCAATCTCAATATGTGAAATCATCGAAAGCAACCGAATGATGATAGGGCAACGCACTTTTCGTTTTCGAAAATCTTTAACAATATATTAAGTAAATATTACACTACTACGAGTTTATTGAACGCGAACGCGTCATATGATATCTGAGGAGAGTAAACGCATTTTATCAAAATCAACTTAACCTATTTGCTACAATAATTCTTAATAATTCGTGAGCTTTTAAAGAAAGGTGGGCCCAGGCGATTATTCATATATATCGCACATACTGATATAATGAAAATAATTCGTTTTAAAACATACGATAATTATCGCGAACGTAGGCGAGAGCCATTATTTATGAAAAAAAAAAAAACCCTTACTGATACGCTACCTTTGTATGCGTAACGCCACTGCTCCTTTCCCGCGCCCATCAGCACTATTGCATAGTATAGTGTGTGTGTATGTGTGCGTGCGTGCGTGTAAGAGATTGAAAAGTATCACTATTTCATTTCTAAAAATTACAAACAATTATTCATTAATATAATTAAGCAAAGTGAAGATAAAACTTGATATGAAAAATGATCAAAAAAAAAAGAAAAAACAGAGCACATCATGAAAATCAAAATATCTCTCGATTTTCTCTGAGATTCAATGATTTCCGTTCTGATCTGTTATTGTATTCGTGTGTTTTTCATATTGTTATTTGCTGGTTGTTGTTCATTTTATCTTGCTTTTATATAAAGATACGAACGATACGAACACATTCCACGATTCTTCCAAAAAGTTGAATTCTGACGAAAAATTCGAAATCATACCCAAGTTGATGGTACTTTTCCCAGGCGACGGATAGGACTTGATGTTTACGATCAATCTGATTTGTTTATTTATTTGCTACTCCGTTTATTCAATTCATTTCTGTTTAGACAATTGTTTGCTTTATAGCTTTTCACGCCAACTGCATGTGACATGATGCATAACATTAAACCTATCATACGCCAATCAGGAGACAAATGTTGATAAAGTTAACAACCACACAATTGCACAATTGCAAACTCTCGTGGAATCGAAAGCAACTTAAGTACTCAAACATACTTACGTATAGATCTGCGTATAAGGTATAGAGTTGGTGAGAACCAAAGGAGAATAAAGTGCAGAGTTGCACCAAAAACCAAGTTTTCTTATAAGGACACACAGTTTACGCACTAAATGCTTCCCCAGCATAGCTAGATGGTGTCAGGACCAAAATAATTTTGCGACTTTGACCCAAGCGTATACTACGCAAGTATATAGCACTTAGCGTAGTTTAACCAATTAAGAACTATAGGCGTAGGGTTGCAATAGATATAAATAATTTTCCCGTATAGAGAAAATAACAATTTTGGGCAATGGACAATGAGATAAAATTTCATTAAATAGGTAAAATTTTACGTCCTTGCCAGTTCTATCTGATCAAAGAGTTTGCATTATAACAAGGACCATGCAGATGCAAAGAACTCTAAATTAAGACATTCTTTTCTTAAACAACCTCAGTAGACGAATGGCAATGTTGGTCGATCGAAGGAAGAGGAAAATATCCTATAGAAACTTTCATAAATATATATTTTTGTTATAGGTCACCGAGCTGATGATCGCAAAAAGTACAAGTGTTTGATATTTCAAGAAGCAATTGATGCAATTCTTATATCTAATTATTTGGCGACCGCTGAATGTTACGCTCCGGTTAATAAGAAGCAGAATAACGTTGCACGCGTAAAAAAAAGGCAGTGGCTTACTTTAGACGGTCAATAGTGCAAATAAACCACACTTCAAGTGTTGAAAGTTATAATCCTGGCACTCGCGTCAATGTATGCCAACACATAACAATTAGTTCAATAGTGAAGCAGCGGTAAAACTAAAGTTTACAGTTCGACCCATACAAGTAGTGACATAGATTCATGTTTCCGCTGATACCCGAGAGACAGACAGACGGTGATGTAATTTCAATGAGACGCTTGTGCCTAAAAGACGGGAGCGGAGAACAACGGGAAATGCCTCGACACATGAATAAATAAACGGGAATCGATACCTTCCATATACTTCGAAGGTCAGCAATGCCGGGAACGGTAATCAATTTCCATACCAGAGAGAATAAACATTGCCAAGGGGCTGGCGAGTTGTAGCGTAGATTTTGAATTGTTTTCAGAATTACGGCAAAATGTTTCGCTTTGAGACATAATCGCGTAATAAATTGTTTTTAATCGTTCAATTACGGCGCACATAAGTGGAAAGAAAGAGGGGCATCCTCCATCACTGTCTTTGGATATGTTGTAACAGAGAATATCGAAGCAGCAGCAGAGTCCTTTGGCAAAGCAGGTTTCTCATCCAAGGTTCATTGCCATGCTTTCATTCCATCCGCTAAATTTCTTATCTTGCATTAGGGTTACTGCTTAGGCTTACATTGCTTTGATTAAATATTATGCATGGACATACACTCATTTATTTCATACAAACATCAAGCCGTGAAAGCGTCTTGGCCACGCTTTAAGTTGTATTATCTTTTACGGGCAGATTATAATTACAACGTTACCCAATAATGAAGCCATGCTACGCAATATGCTCGCCGGCAATCAAAGAAGTGAAACAACTTACAGATCTCAGATATGAGAATTGTTAATATGCTTACTGCCTTCACATCAACTATATATATATATTATACAAGACATAATTGCTCCGAGCTCTGACATTGCATTAAGCTCTGACTTGATATTAAAAAATGTACGAGTGCATGCAGAGAAAGCAAGGTCGAGGCAAACGGGAAAGGATTAGACAACACATTCATTGAACAATTCTTCTCTGCTCACAAGTGCATCGAGGGAATTATGTAACAACGCGTCAACACCTTGCAAAACCGCAATCCTTCATCTATTCGATCGAAATTAGAAAATCATTCTCCGAACTCCGTTACATTCTAAGCTTTTTGCGTTTGTTTAGTGCACCTGTTCAGTGCGCACCTTAGCAACCACTTAGCAGACACTTTCGAAAACAAATGCACGCATTTAAGATTCTTCATTGAATCGTAGAGCTGATGATGACATGAATCTCTACAATTTCACTAGTATATGTAAAAATCAAGTAAGGAATAAATTCATTACGTGCTTTATCGATTTTTTCAATTTTTTATTATTATAAGCATCACTAAACCTCGTTTACTGCAACAGGTGTAAGCTTTCTCGTTTATGACACTCGAAAATAATATCCCTTACAGACCCTACAATACTACGTTCTATGATATGAAAAAACGAAGTAGAGCATTAAACCTTGAAATGACTGTTATTACGATAGTTTTTCGCGATACGATCGTTTTTTAACGATTTCCTCATTACTGTTATCGTTCATATTATTCCCGTTTCTTGAGTGCACCGAATTTGAGTGAGTAGAAAATTTCTTAAGTTTGAGGTTAAATGGAGGATAGCAGCAGACAGGCGGGCAGATAGACAGAGTGATGTACATGAAAAAGAAGTCTTAGATGTGCAGTGACTACCAAATCGCTGTGACAGATTCGTAACCTAAGAACCTATCCTAAGAATGTTGGGAAAATACACTTTTATTTGGAGCACAAAGATATCCTTCACATCTTTTCCTTATGACCTTATGACATGTCATAGGAGCATATCAAACATGTGCGCACATATGCAGAACTTGTTGACAGTATAGCAATCGATCTAGAATCCTTTCTTATTTTAGGTTTTTCCGTTGTCTTCGCCGTTGGCAGTATATACGAGATCGTAGGGTGCCAATGCCTGTACAAGATTTTGATATGAGTGATTTGGGCGAATGAAAATTCCTCATATAAGGAATTTTTTTCCTTTTTTCGAAACTGGCATAATTACGTGTCAGTCTGGGGAAATACTAACGGACACGTTAAAGTATATCTCACCTGACATGCAATTGTAACTGAAACATGTTTTTTTCTGGGTCGTTTGTGACTTCTACCGCTTCTAAGGTAATAATAATTTCTTGTGGAATTTTAGTTAAAAGCGCTCAGTTGCGTTCATGATGAAAAATGTAATTACGTGCTCCTCGCCATTGGCACCCCCTATATTCTCGGATACCCTTCTATACAAGAGTGGACCACGTAATCAAACTTTTCATCATGAACGCAATTACGAGCTTTTAACTAAAACCCTACAGGAAATTGTTTCTACATTAGAGACCTTATCAATCAGGGGTGACCTAGAAGAAGCCATGTTTCCGTTAATACTTGATCTTTATCTTGTGTATGTTGTTAGACACATATTTTAGCATATCCATCAATAATTCCATGAATTATGTTATAAATGCGAACCCTCCAACGCCACTTGTCAAAATTTCATCTCAGTTCAATCATTTCCTTTGTATATCCCTCTAACATCCCTTCGACGAATATCCGCCCGCAAACTATAACTATTCTTCAATATCATGTTCTAAGATGACGCCCCTTTCGCTCTAAAAAAAAGCACGAAACGTCCTTGTCCTTAAGAAGTCCACGAACGTAGCTGTAAACTGAAGACAGTTGCCAATCTCCTCTGTCTATACACGAGCTTTCCACAAAATTTTAGTGCGAAGACAAGTGGTGGCAAACAAGTACAGCAGCTAGTGCAAGTACAATTTCTTGCCATTCTGATAGGGATAGAATTGCATTAAGGCCATCCAACTGCGCTTTAAGCTTACGCTTACGCTTGAATTTAATATTTGAACACCGATGGGGAGGGAAACGGTGCAGACGACATGAAATGTTTCATACGTTTCATACGTTCATACGTTTTAGTACGCTCCAGTACCTTTCACATAAATCGGTTCGCCTCAATACTATCCCGGACATCGTAGCATCGTCCGCACTAGCAAGCAAGGCTAGATTGTGGACAGGTTGGCAATCGGTATCATATTACACGTAAACTAAAATTTACACTAAAACGCAAATAAGCAAATTATTATGACCGATGTAGCTGTCCACTTGGAAGACGAAGAGACACTCCAACACCTGTACTTATGTGATGTTTTAGATAACTTTCGGGTATGTACGAATTTCTAATATCGAATGAGGTGCGTTCTCCTAAGAAGGAGATAAATTACTCATTACTTGTTAGTTTCAACATTTCTTAGGCTCCCTCAAAATACCAAAGGGACAATAAATTCCTGAATCATTTTTAGGTCATTGAACAGATTCATCCTTACCACAAGCCTTCTCCTCCTTCGATGCTAACGAAATGTTCCACCTTACATTATGGAAAACTGTTGTAAGACGTCTATATAATGTACAACCAACGCGACGTTACTGTAATAACATATGCGGCAGCAAGTTGCCGCATTCTCTTTACTCTTAAAAATTTTTAATGCATGTAGGACAGGGGCTGAATTGCCGCTTGCGATATGCGTGCCAGATCGGTAATTGTAATATACATTTATCGACAACGACCGCCCACCCACAATCGAAATTACATTATGAATGACTGCGATGACGATTGCACTCCTCGAGTATCCCTAACTCGTAAA